GTGGGTTCCACTGAAAAAACCAGAAACTGCATGATTTCTTTTATTTTATCGCTTCTACAAAGTGTTATGATTTTTTAACTAGACATCCAAAAGATTGATAGCAGAACAAGAGGCTTGTTGGTGTAGCGGCAAGTACGCACACTAAGTGAGGGTAAAACGCCAGTAACACCTAGTATCTGAGATTCCACGTTTTACAAATTACTCGACATTATTGAGGAATTAAGAGAGCTCGATAGTGCTCGCTTCATGGCTTAACAAAATCAGCCTAATTAAGAAAATCTTTGATTCAGTATGAACAACAAACAGTACAACATTATGAATTTGACATAGAAAGGGGACAGGTTTTCGTGACAATCCATATCACCAATAGTAAGCCTAATGGCGTTCAACATTCGAAAAGAGGCAAAATTGCTAGGTCTGGCGATTGCGTTGATTTTGTTCAATAAATGCTTCTATCATGGCATGTCATGGTGGATATGACGTAGGTCTAAATATGTAAGAGATTGATAGCAGTCCTCATAGGTAGGTAAACGTGTGAACATTAGTCTTTGTTTTGTATTCATGCGTTTAAGCACCTTATTCACCAACAAGAAATGTTCCAAAGTGCACGATTCTACTAAAAAGCTACAATATGAGCATTATAATTTCGTTGCAGACTAGTAGAGGTTATTAGAAGCACAATTGATTTGCGGAATTACAACTTAATCTCCTTTGCTCGAATGCTCATTTCACGAAAATTTCTGTTGACAACCAAACTCTTAAAATTTATTTTCTGTAATACATAGGCGATAAAGTTTCTCAAAAGGCTACATTCATCTTTAGCCCCGTCGCTATCATATGCAGTAGTTCGATATGTGCTCCGTTGAACGTTGAACAGCGTACATCTTAAAATGCGCACGCAATTTCACTATTTGATAATTTTTCGGCACAAAGCATTTTTTTCAGACTTCTATAGTCAGAGTCAGTCAATGGCCCATCGAAGCCAGATTTTACACTCAAACCAAAAGATAAATTAAGTTTGTTTAATGCACCACATTCGCAAAAAAGCCGTCTATGAACGGTACATTGAGGTCAATGAATAGATAAATGCAAATTATATGGAAATGCATTTCAACTGTCGCACAAAGCCAGAAGAACGAATAGCATCGTTATTGGATAATGAACGAAGCCCTTTTGGATCACACAATAAGACGTCCACGAACATGGTAACGTGGGCAGGGGATTACATGGCTGTGTGTTATGTCATACGATACGATATACGATAAATAAAAGCCACAGAGTGGCAGAAAATCTGTGGATCATCCAAATATCAGAACTTTGAAATCAATACGTCGCTAAGCTGAGCTGCTTGCAAAGATTCTTAGACCATACATCTTGATTTCAACGCGCATTCAAATTACGCTCCAGTGAAAAGTCGCCCAATGGGCGTGACATAAACAAAATGGCGACGATCGTGAGAAGTTGAAATAATATTTTTTAGCTCAAATCGAGAACTGAAACAAAAGCCTAAGATTGTTCACGTTTGTTGTACTGCTCACACTATTTACTTGAAATTTTTTCAAAAAGAAATTAAAATTTAAAAACTTTCTCTCAAGAGAACTTTGCTATCTTTTCCGGAATTACATGATAATTTAGGCTAGCGCAGATGGTCCACGACCTTAGAGAGCAAATGGTATCGCATAGACTCGAGGACCTTAGAGAGAAAATGGTCCTAGTAGCGAAAGCGGCACCCAGCTGCCAACAACCTCTACAGTCAGTTCATTCACGTGGCATCATCCGAGCGGTCGTTTGACTTCATCCGGACCACCTCACATTGAACCGTAATCCACCCATTATTGCTCTCTTCACACATTCTCGTCGTCGTGTATCTAATTGCTATAATAAGTTCGTGTTCATATAACCGTTAAATGAACTCAATAGAATTGTGAGCGGAACATAGCGCTTCAGTGGCGAAGCGAACTTACTTAGGCTATGCTTAACCCACCACTGCGGTTAAGGGATTCTGCCCATATATAATCAGTAGTGACCCCATTGCTATCACCTATATATTCACCCACTGAATCCCACCGTTGGCTTGTTATCCCGGGGTGAGCGTAACAACCCAAACGGGCTTGCCGCCTAGTCATGCTCCGTCAGTTACATTAACATCGTCAGTTACAATAACATCTTTAGTTACAATGACACTGTCAGTTATAATAACATTCATAGTATCGTGGATGACGATACTTCTCATCAATCGGTCACTCACAGTGACTTAGGCATATGTTCATGTAGCGATATGTCGCAATCATGTATATATTATTATTATGTTATTATCATAGTAACGTATGTATATTATAGATTGTTTGGTTCTACCACGTTGTTTGGTACCACGCCATTATTTGGTTCCATCCTATTGTTTGGTATAATCCACATAAACCACTGAACCTTCACAATACAGTACAAATTCACTGAACCTCCATATATAATTTAGTACATCAGCTACAAACCTTCGCTATAGATTTATTCATTTGAAAAAATTTCTTGGAAACTAAGAAAGAATCGAATTTCATTTTCGTTTCCAACTAAATAAGGCATTCAAATCCAAGTACACCTAAACTGTAGTTGAAAATGAAGATTAGACAAAATATGGCGTTTTCAGTGATCATGTATAATTCTAATACGCACAAAACTCTGGGGATCAAAAAATCTTCACTTGCTGGAAAGTTATAGTAGTAGGCGTTATTTTATTGAATCACTTCGTTTTGAGGCAGTAAAGCGATCGATCGACTTCTCCTGAGCGGTAATGCCACAAATGGAAGGTTTGATACAATCATTCGTTTTGTTAACAGAATTTCCATTGAATATAAATAATGTAAATGCTTAAATATATCATTCTATACAATGCATATTATGGACAATGATCAACCCTATGAACTGGTTAATGATACATATCACGTAATCAAACAGTCGGTTTTAACTAAAACTTTGACGGTATTAGCAAGTCAAATTGGTCAAATAGCAGGCACACTAATACGAATTCCAGAAACTGCCGTAAAGTACGGATGGAAGCCACGAAAACATATCATACGACGTACATTTCCATGCATGTGAGTTTTGGAAGCTTTGTGGGATTCTTGTTCATCAGTCATCATTATGCATTCAGAGATCCCAAAGCAAGTGTGCGAATAGCATTTTGTAATTCACATCGACGTTATCGACGTCAAACGAATAACTTTGCGAGAGAGTACGATTTTCCGAATTTAATCTTTGCTTAGATCTTATGCACTGTAACATACGTGTGGTCGCCCATGAATTCTGTGTCTATTCTCATAATGAGATAGCTTAAGTGGAGTGGCATGCAGTAAACGAATGAGGTATCTTGCAATACCTGCGAAGACTGTGTCTCGTTATAAGGCCACTGGCGACAATCCTCGATCAGCCAATTGGCGACGGTAAAAAAGAAGCACCACTGATTTGGTACATCGTTGATTCACAGTTGGTCACTTGTAGGCCAGATATGTATTTACTCACCTCTATTAGGCTTTATGTTGTCGACCGCACCTTCCTCAGGAATTCAGCAGAAATGCAAGCTGCCCTCTTTTATTGAAGGAAAATTGAATATACTGTCTACCCTTGCGTCCTTGTTCACACGAGCTGTCCAAGACAATGTGTTATGTTTATATTTCTTGATTTTTAATTTTCATACACGTACATTTATTTTTTTTCATTAGTGGACGGGCAGCAAAAATAGAGTCCAGTTGCCAATACGTTTGGACACAAACAGTCTGTCTGCAGAAGTCTTACATAACGTTCTCAAAAAAGGATTGTGGAGTAGCCGTGGCTCTCATATCAAAAAGCGGTCGATGTAACTTCTAGACGGCTTTTGTCACTTAACTTTAGGCTCTTTACATAATCGTCAAGGGCGCAACACGTATAAACGTAAGCACACATATGCTGCACAAGTATATATTCGTACCCATAAAAAGTGCATGTGAATAATCACCTGTACATATCGTGACTTCAAATGCGTTTCGATGTATTTGTAAGTAGGCGATAAGTTAATGATAGGGATTGCTTGAGCATATGGCTGATAAGGTAAAGTATAAAAGCAGCGACATTGAGTAGGTGTCATTCTCATAAATGTTCTGAGCCTGTAGCAGTGTTTTACCAAATCCAAGGTGACATGATATTACTACTTTCACTCTGTGCAAACAAATGGAAAGATCCGCTCAGTAGCCAAACCAACAATGATCGTTCAGCTATGGAAAACCATCCTGCTCGTCCAGTCATCTCATGGTGCAGTGAAAACGCGGCTGTTTCATCTTCATCGATCACAAGTCATTTTTTACGATTGGAAGAAGTTCTAGTTAGCTTCGGTGGCTTTATTATAATAGTCTCTTCACTGCAGATAATTGTTAATATCGTTAGAGTTTTAGTTAAAACTGACTGTTTGATTACGTAATATGTATCATTGACCAATTCATAGGGTTGATCATTGTCCATAATATGCATTGTGTAGAAGTAGTCTGTTAGTATACAGTAAACTAAAAGTAATCCAACTTGCAGCAATATTTAGGCAGCAGAACATCGATCCTATATTTCGACTCATACTCGAGATTTCTAGTATTTTCACTGTTTTCTTCGCAGTGTTATGATGTTTCATATATCCATAAGAGAATTGAGTGGTGAGCAAAAAATGGCCTGCGACGGGAGTCGAACCCGCTTTTCATCTATAACGGTGACGCGGTCTCCCACTGCACCACCAAGGTACATTAGCGACACCACTTTCTTCAACATCTCTATGTCAGCTGTCAGCCACCAACCAACAGGTTTGGTCGGGTATGCGATTTCGCTTTGTGTATAGTAAAAATACTAGATATTTCGGGTATTAGTTATTGCAATGGCTGTCGGCTGAACTGTGTCTATAAAGCGAAATCGCAGGCCCGACTAAACATGTTAAAAGTTGGTGGTTGACAGCTAACATAGAGATGTTGTGAGAAGAGTGGTGGCGCGAATGTGCCTTGGTGATGCAATGGTAGCACGCGTCCTCGGTGTGAATGAAACACGGGTTCAACTCCCGTCCGAGGTCGTATTTTTGCTCAGCACTTAATTCTCTTGGGGATTTTGACTCCTATTCTCCTTATTCACCTATCGTTCCGTTAATCGTCAAATGGCTTGAGCAGGCGCAAGCAAACGTGCCGTTTTTTAATTTTACGTGCTGGAGTGCTCTAGTGGATTTCCTTTGCCGCAGGATAACGCTCAGCGTCAGAATCTTTTGTCTAGGCTCTTGAGGAGGAAATCTAATCATCAGATTAGTTGCTATCTTGTTGCGCGCTATACATCCCGAGAAATTTAATCGCTAGTGGTTCCTGTTCGTCGGTTGTCTATGAACGTATTACTTATTCGGTTCACTTCAAGTTCATCAGGAACGCTTCCATTTCTGATCGCTTGCACAGGGCTAGAACATCGCAACATTTGTGTCACTAGCGATAGGCTAATACTCTCAACATCGACTTTTCGACCTGCACGTTCAATGACGCCAAGTGATCTTCCTTTCTGTTCACGTAGCAATCAGTTATGTGATGTGTAGGTTGAGGAGGGAATAATGCTTAAGTCAGAAAGGTGGGCATGAATTTGGGGTTCATCGTTTTCTCAAGTACTTATCTGATGCTCTCATACAATCTACATACCGTTCATTCCCACCTGCTTAATTTTAAAAATTAGTCTGCAGATTCTTCGAATTACTTCTCAATCTATATAAATGTCTTTCAAAGATTTTTATTCTAATGAGCATGAATGACGTTGATGGAGTCAATCCTTTTCTCAAGAGCATCGTTTCGTGAGATTTAATTGGAAATCAATCTTTCTAGAAGTGTTATCAAACTCAATCAACATTCGTTGTGCCTGACTAATGCATGGTTTCTAATAAGAACGAAATCGTTAGCCTAGTGAAGATGATGTTATTGTCTAAAGTCAATTTTCAATTCTATTTTGTCCCATACTAGTGTTCGCATGAGTCGCGAAAGGTGGCTGCCAAAAATTTTGACGATACCGTATCGCCTTGTTGAACGTTTCTTCTCACGTCAGTAGTATTACCGTTATTGAATGGCGAGATTTTAGTTGTGAAATCTGTATATAGATCACAATTAATTGTTATGAACTGGCTAGGGACGCCCTGGTTGTTCGAAGCCTCTGTGACTGCTCCTGTTTACTGAATCACGCTCTCTTCAAGTTGATGAAAATGAGAAAGAAAGGTCTCTTGTACAGTCGTAAATCTTTTTGAGTGTTGTGATCGTGTGGTTGTGGTCTAAAGTACTCAGTCTCGTCTCGAAACTCTGCTTACTCGCTTCACTGTCCTTACCCCAGTATCCTCTCAATCGTGTTTGGGATGAATCGATTGCAGACTTCATAGACTATGGACAACAAACAGGTTGGGCAACAACTGTCTTGCTTCCATTTTTGATCAGTAGCACGATTTTATTAGTTTTCTAATGACTGGGAACTCTGTATTACAGATGACGAGTATAGAATCAAGCCAGCAATCATCTCGGTCATGAATTTGCGAAGTTTCAGAGAGCTTCATGAATACTCCTGTCAGTTTCTGAGTTATAGTCATAAGACTGCTCTACTCTGTTTACGATATTTTTCTACGTCTTCTCTGCAGCGTTTTGCAATAATTAAGAACGTTAGTTCGCGGGTGCCTATGGACACTTGAAACTCCACCACTTTCACGTATCAGTGCGGGTGCCTCCGGAGACCAGCGCCTCTTGGTGAATTTCAGTCTTACAGCTTCTACAGCGCTAACGTGATGATATTGAAGAAAATTGTCGCACTGATTTTCACTAGAGCGCTTTGATTGACAGACAATGCCAAAATAAAATGAGTCTTTGTTGAATATCAATAAGTCAATCGACGCTGAAATTACCCAATATTCTACAAGATATACGGTTATGTAAGATTGAATTAGCCTATTTTGAAGAGAAATAGCAAATCAGCTTGTGATATTCCACTTCCAACTTCAAAATTATTGCCGGCTCTTGCGTTTATCCACCGCATCCTTTAACGTAGAGGCGTGCTGCACACTATATCTCCATGCAGGTCTGAATAATTTTCTTATTTCTTTGCTGTCTGAAAGTTTTTGACACTTTCGACTTCCATAGAGATTCTAGTTTAATTTCACAGGAATCGTTTTGATTAATGACCATGTTGTTCCACACGATCAAAATAAGAAGCTCGCAGTTGGCCATAATCACTCTGAAAATGAGTTTGTTCATTGGCATTGCTAGCCTTACTGTAGTAATGAAAATTACCTAGACAGCTTTTACAGGAAGTATTACTTTAGCAGCACAATATATCCGCCTTACATTCAATTAAAACAAAGGTATCCTGCGTTTATTTCGCAACTATCGGCATTTTTATCATTAGGTATGGAGACTGTAGACAGAATTCGCCCCTGTCTCGTGTGGAAAACTTAATGGTCCATTTCTGTACGATATTTGGAAGACAAGGACGTCTCCACTATTGGCAGTGACGGAGGGATATGAGAGGACATATTCGCTTTTGATGTAAACGTTCCTTACACAAGAAGCGTAAGTTGATAGGCAATCGAGGAGTGTTATTCCATATTCTGCTGCGCTTAGATAAAGATGATCTGTTTATTTGCAACCATAAAGTCTTATACGTGGAATCCCTGTTTGAATTTTGGTTTGGAGAGGTGCTGTGTTAAATACGTTCGGTTAAAATTGAGTACACCGTTGAAATTGCTTAGACTTTCCCTATTTACTGATCACCAAATGCTTACGAAAAAAGCTTTATCCGGAGAAAATGCTTGAATTTCAGACAAATTATTTTTCGGCTGTTGCAGCAAAGAAAACAGGCCATCTAAGGAATAGAACACATCGTTCAAATTTACTTGATTTTAACTATCGGACGAGTACTAAAACGTTGTTTTGTACGTATCTACCAAAAGGTTCCAACAAATGGACGAGAACGGGATAGAAGCGCTGTACCTTCATCTCTTCTTCGCATACCATAGCTATGAATAGAAAATTCGAACGTGTGGATTCGCATGCAGCCAGGAGCATCCAATTTTCAGCCTGTATGACTAATTTTATGCACTTCGTGCAATCGCAGTATATGGAAAGACGAAAGAAATAGAAGATTAAGTTGATTGCTTTATAGGTAAGTGTGAAAAGAAATTGTAAATATGTTCGATATAGCTTCTAAATATAGCCTCTTCATTAACTGTTGGTTTTTTTTTCTCTGACACTGCGGATTCTGAGTGGAACAATTACGTCATTTCTAATAAAAATATTTTATTGTGGTCTATTTCTTGGTCTACGTAAGCAGGATGAAAGATCACTTGGAGTTATCGAACGCGCAGTCGAAAGGTCGATGCTAGGACTATCCCGTATTTCGCAAATGAGAGAAAGGATCCGAAGTTCCGACCTACGTCAACGATCGAAAAAAGAGACGCCGTTCTACACGCCAGGATATCGAAAATAAGGTGGGCCGGACACGTGATGCGCTTTCAACGACAACCGATGGACGAGAGCCGTTACCGACTGGATTCCTCATGACATCAAGCGCACTAAAGGAAGACCACTGACCCGCTGGTCCAATTTCTTCACCGAAAGCGATAGAAAAAAAATGTGATGCTCAGAGAATAATTAGAGCGAGGAGGACCCACTGGGCTACTCTTGCACGCGACAGAAAAAAATGAAAGAGTTGCTGGTACCCGCTCAAGTCACTCGACGATCAACGGGACGACAGGTGATGCAGGTGATTCCTTGATATCTGACCAGCCATCGGCACGAAACTCCCACATGTTGACGAGAGAAGTACAAATTGCATTCAAAACCTTCACATGCATTGGGGCAGGCGCCGGCAGGCTCTCTTCGTGGCCGTCCGATCCTACCGCCAGTCCAAAAATTGCGACGTCCGCAAAGGGGTGTATACATATATTTGTGCATATGTATATATATATATATATATATGCATATATCTGTAGACAAGCTGCACAAGAAAGTTTGACGATTTTGTTTTTTTGTTGATTTCAAAACTGAGGTACTATTTTTCATTAATCCAAAAATTTTATTGAATCTTCATCAAATTTTGGTCAACAGTGTCTTCACTTATCGATCTATTTTTGCTTGTGCTAAATTATGGATCGCGACTGTGAGCGTACCGCACTAGTTGAGCATCACAAGACGGGAGTGAGAACAACCGGCATTGTTAAAGTAATTAGTTTCAAACTAGCGAATGTACTTGTATACAAATTCTTTACGGGAAACCTATAATCACAACTGAGAGGAGTAAGGTACAACGTCATTGTCTTGGCTTCGACAAAAAAACGCCATCAGCTTTTACGCTATCTGTGACACCGAAGGCAAACTGTTTACGAAGGATGCGACAGTAGAGGTGTGATCAGAGTTGGCACTTCCGCCAAAACGATTTGTAGAAGTGTTTTATCTCGACATGGATAAGTCAGTTTCACAGCGTCGCACATTCTTTGAGATCACTTGAGATCTGAACGAAAATTGTTGATACTAGACGAGCGCTTTAAGTATGTCAGATTGGGACCCAGGGGACATGGAATGGCAGGATGAGAGTCTGTCTGCATTTCTCATGGCTAAAATCATCAATGGTGACTCATGGCTCTTAGAAACCGGACTTACAGCGGTGTAGTGACGTGAGAGTTTCCAAGTGAAAAGTACTATAACGGGAGAAATCAAAATTCTAGCGAACTGAAGGTTTTGCCTGATCAATGTCGCTGTTGCTTCAAAATTTCACGTAGAACCAGTTCATTTAATTGCTTACGCAACATTCCATTTTTTGCAAAAAAGATGAGAAACTCTTCCAAATCTGTACAATGAAATCTCAGAATCACCATACAACGGGATCAATTTAAGTCACTAGTTGGGTTTCAACCATTTCGTGACTATGATAGAAATCGCGCGCCGCAACGATTCGCAGTCGACGCGCGAATTTTGCCACTTAACTGGTTTTTTTTTAGTATTCTGAAATTGATTCGTAGTTTTTTTTCCAATACTTCAATACTTCATAATTTTCTCTAGACGTCCATATGGT